ACTCTTTTCACCACTAATCCTTTGTCATACTCCTCCCTACTCCCTTAATTACTTTCCTTCTAATAACCTTTACTTTATACTATGCCCCATCAGCTCCCTCTCTTTACCCTTTTCACTAGTACTTTGCCTTAATCATAACTCATTCCTAACCCTTTTTGCTACTGTACTTTACTGTAGTGCTATATGGCATTTGATGTCATATTGCAGAATCAGTCAGAGGCTTTTTCTAACATGGAACTGAGAAGCACAGCATATACTTAAAAGAAATTAATGTAGGAGTATAGTGTATTGTGCTGGCTTAGTGTACATTGTTGTCAAAATGTCTCAGAAATTCAGAAGCATTTGACAGAAAGGTTATACAGGTATTTGAGTATGGGACATTGGACCTGAAATAAATGGAAAAAGCATTCTGCTATGTTTTGTTGAATTAATGGTAGCAGAGATACAGTGACTCAAAAGTAATTCCAACGCTGATTATCTTTCTGATGCAATACTTTTTTCATCGAAGGTCTGTAGGAGCAGCAGAGCTTGAGGAACGCACAGACGAGTTTGGTAAAAAACAACGTTTCTTGTCAGGAGCTGGTTTTGTCCAGCCCTTCATGGATATCTGGTAAGTTAGTGCTTGTTGTCTTAGCTTTGTATATTTAGGGTGATGTTTTTTAGTGTGATGCTAATGTCAGCATTAAATGTGCATCAAATGTTTTCTTTAGTTTATTGTAGTATTTCTGTAATTTTTTCCTTTTCTTCCAAGATCATATTTAGATTAGATTAGAGTTGGTATAGTTGTTATCTACTTTCTTGTAGCAGGAGAGTTTTATGACTTTGGCATATCAACAAAACTCTTGGATATTGTTTATATACAGAAGGATAGCAAGTTCTTACACCTGTGAAATAAAACTAATATAAGGCAAAGTAATCCCTATATAACACTGATCTACCATTTCAGCGAATTACCTGTAGCAACGCTGATTAAGTTTGTTGATGAAGGAGACAATAGAAGTGATGCCTACGCCCTTGCAACGTACTTGAACGCTTGGAAACACCTGCTTAAGGTAAAGAGTTTGCAACCAAAAAAAAAAGAAAAAAAAAATCTGTGCCTCCCCTCCCCCCTTTTTCCATTGTCCTTCCTCCTTAGTGCTCTTATGATTGTACCCATTTTCTTTGTGGATTTTTTAAGTTGTTGAAGGCAGACAGTATGCCTGTAGCACTTCCTAGAAGAAAAAAATTACACAAACATATCTATTTGTATGTAGATAAGGATATGTATTTTCTTATATCTATTTTAGATCTTGTCTGTCAGGTCAGTTATTTCCATTTCTTAAACAAGTTAAACATAAACGTGGCACTTTTCTTATCTCTCTTATTTAGAGCTTGCTTGTCAGAACAGTTGTTTACTTTTTTCACCTCCATTTCTTTTACATAGGAAACCAACCCATCTTGGAAGGCCCCGTTTTCATGGAAGAACTTGTATGGAGGACCACAACCAGTTGGCCTTTGTTGATGTCTCATGCTCATTTGGAACGTGTCGTAGAAGGTTTATGGTGATGTTTTTTAGTGTGATGCTAATGTCAGCATTAAATGTGCATCAAATGTTTTCTTTAGTTTATTGTAGTATTTCTGTAATTTTTTCCTTTTCTTCCAAGATCATATTTAGATTAGATTAGAGTTGGTATAGTTGTTATCTACTTTCTTGTAGCAGGAGAGTTTTATGACTTTGGCATATCAACAAAACTCTTGGATATTGTTTATATACAGAAGGATAGCAAGTTCTTACACCTGTGAAATAAAACTAATATAAGGCAAAGTAATCCCTATATAACACTGATCTACCATTTCAGCGAATTACCTGTAGCAACGCTGATTAAGTTTGTTGATGAAGGAGACAATAGAAGTGATGCCTACGCCCTTGCAACGTACTTGAACGCTTGGAAACACCTGCTTAAGGTAAAGAGTTTGCAACCAAAAAAAAAAGAAAAAAAAATCTATGCCTCCCCTCCCCCCTTTTTCCATTGTCCTTCCTCCTTAGTGCTCTTATGATTGTACCCATTTTCTTTGTGGATTTTTTAAGTTGTTGAAGGCAGACAGTATGCCTGTAGCACTTCCTAGAAGAAAAAAATTACACAAACATATCTATTTGTATGTAGATAAGGATATGTATTTTCTTATATCTATTTTAGATCTTGTCTGTCAGGTCAGTTATTTCCATTTCTTAAACAAGTTAAACATAAACGTGGCACTTTTCTTATCTCTCTTATTTAGAGCTTGCTTGTCAGAACAGTTGTTTACTTTTTTCACCTCCATTTCTTTTACATAGGAAACCAACCCATCTTGGAAGGCCCCGTTTTCATGGAAGAACTTGTATGGAGGACCACAACCAGTTGGCCTTTGTTGATGTCTCATGCTCATTTGGAACGTGTCGTAGAAGGTTTATGGTGATGTTTATTGTATAACAGTGAATATTCTTGGTGAATAGTTTATTATAAAAAAATTCTTGCCTGTG